CATTTTCTTCCAAGAGTTCTATAATTTAAGCATGTAAATGTTCCATAACTCTGCTTGTTTTCCTTTCCAAGCAAAATGAACGGTTACTCACCTCCCAGTTTTTAGAAAACTCATGTTAATACAAAGTGCAGATGAGAGTATGCCCAACTCCCAAAAACTAACTCTGAGCCAAATTCATTGTCAATGTTCACATCTTCCCAATGAAAAGCTTCATTCTGCAATTATTATCTAACACTGGGTAAGATTTTTTATTTTCTCCGATAAGGAAACTAGTATGACTATGAAAGCAAGCGCAAAAGAGATAACATTACTGCAGTACTCTATTCAAGCCAAGAAATACAGCACAAGACTTGTGTGATCCAGCCACTGACAGTTTACCATTTCTGTTCTGAGAGAACTTCCCCAAACAACAGAATTTGCACCCACCTGTATCTCAGAGAAGGTAATTTCATTTATTCAAGACATTTTTACTAGACTACAGTTTTGTGTGGATCAGTCAGACACATCAAAAACCACGTATTAGCTGAAGTGAAGCTGAGATGACTTAAGTTGCCTAACAGTGTCAATCTGAAATTCAGATGAATATAATTTGTACCTCTAAATGACAGAGATTTAATACAGATCTCACATATTGCCAAGTTTTAAAAAAAATAGTGTGCAGAACTGAGTAAAATAGCAGGTTGAGCACACCTCCAAGTTTTGAATCTTTATGTAGAAGTCAGCGATCAGAATGATCCATCTTTCTGCCTCAGATGATAAACCAGCTTTGTCACAACCCAACACATCGCACCACCTGGCACAGAGGAAACTGAAAACTGGAGGAGAAGCACTAAACCAATTTAACTTCTTCAGAATCGTCCAAGACATTAGCAGAAATCCTTCAGAAACACCAAACTGATTGAAACACAGCTACCTCCAGTAAGCATGCTTGTATAGCTAATAATCTCCATAAAACGTTGAATTCATGGAATCCTTTGAGTTGGAAGGAACAAGTTGAACTGGATTGTTTCAATATGGAGCGGGTATTGTTAGAGTTAAGATAGCGTGTAGTCAAACCTACACCCAAAGGGCTGGCTTTCAGAACATTGTCTGAAGGTCTCTTTACAAGAATTTCAGGGGATCAGGACGTATCTCCACATGAAAGTCTATCAGGCTCTTTTCAGGCAGTTATATATGAGACGACCTCAGGCATTAAGTGAAGCCATGCATCAGGTGATATCAGCATGTGCATTAGTGGCTGTCTGCTGGGGCTCAGTGTCCCCCGCAGGCAGTGTCTGATCACACTGCCAGCCTCAAGGGGGGGACTGGAGCTGCACCTGCTGAGTGGTCAGCCTGAAATGTTTGTACAATAAACACAAATGTAGGCTGAAATCAGGATGATATTTGAGTGTCTCAGCAATATTAGCAAAGATTTATTTTATCATTGCATTGAAAAGTCACATTTAACGCAGTCTGTTTTCCAAATGATCCTTAAAAGGCACTCCCTTCTTCCTCATCACCTTCACCTAAGGCAATGACATCCAGTAGCGCTGATCTATGTGCTGCTATTTTTCATTAATTTTACCCTCCCTAAGGGTGGTGCAGCTTTGGTGCCAGCTAATTAAAACCTATTTAGGGCTGTTCAGTGCACTTTATCAGACCAGAATTAGCTCTGCTGCTTTAATGAAGACTACAGTTTTCTCTGTTATTACCAATTAAATGTTGTTATATCATATTGCCTTACCACATAGCAAAGTTATAGATGTCTTTAGAACCACTTACCTGGATTGAAGGAGATACAAACATGCCACAGTTAGTGATTATCCAGTGTTTTTTTAAATGTTTCACTTGACTCAATACATGTAATATAACCAAACATTAGTGAAGTATAAGAAGAAGCTGCCAGGTTTACATTCCCTCTAGGGAAGCACCACGTAAAATGCTTTAATGCTTTAATGAAAAACCATGAGCGTCTGGTAATGAATATTATTTATGTACAACAATTATTCAAAATGGATGAGTATTCACTGCATTGAACTCAAATGCTTCACTAATGAAGACTCTCAGAAGAAACGTATGTCCTCCAGATTCATAACACTGCATACAAGGTTAATTCTCCAGCACTGATAACTTATATTTCAGAATACTGTTACAGAAAGAATTAAAAAATTTGCTTCCAACCTACCTTCTAGAAGTTCTTCAGGGACAATCCTTATTTCTTACATGAACTGTTATACAATTAATGAATATACTGATGTTATGGTGCAGCAGTGTACAATTAATGAATATACAGATGTTATGGCATAGGAGTGCACAATTAATGAATATACAGATATTATGGTATAGCAGTGCAAAATTAACGAATATACAGATGTTACAGTATAACAGAGAGCTTGGCTATGATGCTGTTACACCAAAGCAGGAACCAGAAATGACAGTACACTCACCCATTTCCTAGGCTTGCCTAGGAAACTCCAATGGAGTGGATCTCCAGAACAGATCCTTCCCTACTGGTGGTCAGCTCTTTAATGGGTCTAGGAGAGGTGCAGCCAGGCTCCCCCCCTTCCGGCAGCACAGCTGAATTGCCTTCACCTGTGCTCCTGTGGCTGACTCATGGCTCGCCTCAGGAGATCAATCAGAGGTTCAGGTCGTGATTCAGCAGTCCCCACACAACTGATAATAAACTATGGATCAATAGCAAAGCTGTGGGGCTTGAACCTGTGCCCACTGAATTCAGTGATGAAGCTCCAGTGAGAGTGTAGGACCAGAGCTTTTTTGCAGTAGTGAAACAACTGCAGAACACATCTGTTTGCCACTTCTCAAAACACCCTTTGAAACTTAAGCACCGGTAGGATGAAATTACTTTAAAGTCTCACTGATTACCTGAAAAGATAATATACCAAAAAGTAGAACTAGAAAGCTATTAAAGGCTTGACAGACTAGCAATCTGTTGTAATTTTACTATGCCTTAGTAGAATACACTGTACATAAGGACAGTATTTTAGGATTAAGCTAAAAAATGACGTGATTACAATCCACTTGGTACATTTTAAAATATGAGTTGAACTTGGTATCCTTCCAGATTTTTTTCTCGGAACATGCTGAAGCAGACCTCTGTTCTAACTGATACTGCAAGCAGGAGTTGATGTTTCTCTGAGGAATGGAAGGAGTATTTGGCTGAGGAACCTGATTCTGTCTCAGCATCGTAACAGTCTGGCATAATGTGCGAAACTATTTTCATCACTCCCAAATTTCTTGTGCTCTGCCTTTAGTGCTTCCACAACTGGCATATACCTCTAAGAGACTCATCACCCTCCCTAGAGAAAGCATAAAGATTCTGTGAATTGAAAATGATTTCCAAATGGAGACCCCCTGACTAGTAGAGAGCTGGTGACATGTTGACTGTTTCCCTCATTTCTAGCTGACAAGTGCACAAAATGATACCACTTGCATTTGATGTGGATAAGCAGAACTGAAAAAGAAAGTTACAGTAGATGCAAGGATGTGATCTGATTGCCACTGTGAGAAGCATTGGCTTACTTCGTAGCGTTAAAGTTATGTACACCACGTCACGTGGATCATGAAGTCCCTCCACAATTTGCCTCTGCTCACAGTGTGAAAATTTTAGTTGTAGTGGCAGATAAAGGAGAAAGACATTGGGCTACTGATGCCAGGATTCCTAAGAACTTTGTTTATAAGCTGTGAGAGAACAGAAGTTCAATCTGTCTTTGACATGGAAAGGATAATTTGTATTGTGTTAATAAGGAACTAATAAAACTTTGTGATGTATTAATTTGTTGAAAAGGAACACATTAGGCTGGAGATTAAGACACTTGAATGATGATGTTTTTTGATAGGCTATGCTAAGGTATCTATTTGCACTGAGCTGCTCTCACAGTAAGGATTTTAATGCAACATTGTGAAGTCACTGTGACCTGACAACCATTATCATGGAATATATAAAATTTAAATATAAACAAATTGAAGTTTACAAATGCAATGATATTCTCTCGATCATATTTAGCTTGATGAATAGGTAAAGTGGATGCCTTTGATTATTAAAGGACATTTTTGAGAAATGCATCTCGTGCATTTTCTGTTAGCTTCAATTCATCAGCTCCAGTTTAAACCAAAAAAGCAATGACAACCTTGAGACATTTATGGAGAATGGAAGCCCCTTCCAACTCCAGAATTGCAGCAGCCATATATGCACATGCTGAACAAGCCCCATATTTCAATTCATTTTCAAAAAGGCAAAATTGACTCTAACCAACATTTGGCACTTCAGTAACAAAGGGAATCAAGGGAGACTGAGAGAACAAGCACTTCTACAGCAACAGCCAAGTCAAACGTTTGGATAAGGTTAAACTATTAGTTAACATCTGTATTTTTATAATGTGGTCAGAATAGCTACTTTCCTTCACAACTGCAAAATCATGATGTGCAAACTGAAAAATAAATACTGAGACACAACAGTGGTCTGGAAACTCCTTCCTACTAAGTGTGTAGCAGAGGCTGCCTCAATGCCAAAACACAGAGGTCCCCTTCAATGCCAAAACAAATCCATTTTCACCAAGAAACACAAATAGCACACAACCCTGTGGTTTGTGCTTGAAGTAAAACTAAAGAGAATATCAATAGAGACAAAAATACAATATCCAGAGTTATCCTGAGGTTGTGCACTTGGAAATGTTTTTGAGTAGGATTATCCCCTTCAAATAAAATATCAATTTAATCAATAGTAAATTGAGCTGAAAACAACACACAGCTTTCAAAACATTTCAGAAAGACATCCAATATTTTTTGGGACTCAAGCCAACAGAAATTGAAAGAACAGAAGGTAGCGTAGGTGGAGTAAATGGGGCCTAGCTGCTGCCTCATCAAGTGCTTATAACAGTCAAAACCACAAAACAATCCATTAAAAACATATCTAGGGATTCATTTAGTATCTGGCATCCAGCATGGTCTTCTCTCACGTCTTCTGTCAAACATTATAATTGCTCTTCACAAGTATAACTTACCGGTCTTTTCCTGTCTCCTTCTTAAACACTGCATCACAGTAGCTCATGCGCTTTTCCGTTGTCACATAGATTTTGGCAGTTGGGTAGCTGTCAACAGCTTTCTTCAGCATGTTGTATACAATGCCATTTCCATCCTTCCTCATGTTTCGAAAAGGTCCCCAGATCACATAAAGAGTGCTGTTGGTTTCCTTGAAAAAGTACTCAGGATTCTTGAGCAGGAGAGGCACACTTGTGTGAGAGACCACTCTGATGGTCGTCCTCTTCCCAACATCCTCCTCATAGCCCTTTGTGGGTGCATTGTTCATTCTCCATATGCAGGAGGACTTGTCTATCTCAGCTCCCACCTTCTGGCCTACCATCTGTCCGGAATTGGAAACGATGGCACAGAGGTCACAGTCCAGTTGTAGAGGCTGGAAGAGAGAAAACAAAAATACATGGCAGGTTCTTCTCTACAGAGCGTGAAGACTGAGAATTCAGTTAACAGAAAGACAAGGACAATCCAAAAAACTGACAGCGATACTTCTCTTTATAAAACAAGAAAATCAATCCCCTTGTGGTAGAGCTGATGGAAAAACCTACTGCTACACAGTTCTAAAAGGAACCCTTTTCAGTGCCTGCAGTCTTTTCCTTTGTTCACCTACTGAAGTCAACTAGAAAAATACTCATTTCTTTTCCTCTCTGGATGTTACTCTTTTCCCTAGAAAATGATAAAAGAAAGCAGCAATAGAAAATAATTTAGATCAAGGCCTGTTTTGAAAAGGTGTCTGCAACAGGGAAAACGTACAGAAAAAATAATGCTGAAAATTTAACTATACGCTGATTCTGGTTATGTGTCTGAAGGAATAATTCCCAAATTCGTGACACAAGTCAAACATGAAGTGTACTTCTAACAACCAACCTGATAGCACTAAAACCCTGCAGCTGGAAAGAGGTGTAGATAGAGGAATGTGGTGCTCTCTCCAGAGAACTGTTACAACCATGAAAAATGAGAGGCAGATGGAGTGGTGACATGTGACTCAGGAACTTAATCCTGGGCAAAGAGAAGTCAAAGACAGTATTTCCTGAGTGCGTTCTGGGGTACTATTTCTCCCTTATGTATTGAAAATAGGAATAGTTATCTCCTTAAAGAAATATAGGGACCCAGACAATATTCCATTTGTCTGAATATAAATTGTATATATATTGTCTGGTTCTTTTGCATCAGAGGGATGCATTACATTTAGATGCATTTTATTAAAGTTTTACTAGAAATTTAAAACAAATGAAAACTAGATCCATCCAGAAAAACTTAGAGAATAGGGTCCAGGCCACACACCTAATTTACCTGATGTGGATCACATCCTGGCTACATTTGACCACAATGGACCTGGTCTCTTAGATGAGATTTCTTTGATAATGGTGCACAGTATAAGGACAAGAGATAAACAGCTCAAGACTATAATAGCCAAATTATAATTGCAAAAATATCAAATGTTTGGGGGACAATTATTATATTTGTATATCAAGTTTCTGCAGTAGGCATCACAACTGCAGCCTTTTCACTTCTCTGCTGTGATTGATTTGATCTCTCTATGTGAGTGGTACCTGAAAACATTCTTTCATCATTTCTTCAGGAGTTAAAGATGTATGACTGTATGCAACAGCACTGATGGTGTTTCCTTTACAGAACACCATGTATTTTTTATAGCTGTTGTAGTTTCAGAGAGTTGTCCTGCTTGGCTGTTTAACAGCAGGGATGAAATCCCAGGAGATACAGCTGAACACAACAGTCTTTCTGTTTTCTGCTTAGTTACAGAAATTCTCTCTAAGATACATTATGAGGACATGGCTGTGTGACCTAAACAAATCCATGAGCATAACTCACATCCTAACATGAAGTGAATTGTTCAAGTCCCAGTAGATTAATTTATAGCTTTCAGGGTGAACTTTCAAGCTAACAAATACTGAATATGAAACTGCCAGACAGGAAAAAACAATTTGGTCAAGAATCTGGTCCCATTTAAATTTGTCTCAACATTGATGGGTGTTTTTTTCAGAATATTCTTCTGTCTCCATTGAAATGGAGCTGCTCTCTTAAATTTGGAATTGTTTGATTTTCTGACCTTAGTTAGAAATGCATTGAGCATTTTCTATTCACTGAGTGAAACTGTTCTGCTCGAATAAACTGAGTACACTCACTCCTGCAATTGTGTCCCCCAGTTTTCGAGCTCTTTTGTTGTGATTCATTTATCTTGTTCCAATTTGTAAAGTGCTTTCATAATATTGAATGCCTGCACTAGGTCAACATATAATCTGCTCTACTTCAGCAGAGGTGGAGGCTTAACCCCTTCCAATCCTAATTCAGAACAGATATTTTTACAACATAGAGAAATTTCAGATGCCCTAATTATGCACATTTGCTAACAGAGATCCTGTGGAGAGTTAAAAGACTGACTGACACCCATGACAAACATTCAACTCATTCCAGCACCATCCACTGAACTCAGTATCTTTTTGCACCACATTTTCTGCAGTATGTGCAAAACCACGTATCAGTATTCATTTACTGAGCCCCCATATAGAGACAGCCTTGCTGCCTGTGGTCTTGGTTTATAACAGCTAAAGATAAGAGGGGCAGTTTCTATAATCCATACACAACAGCTTTCTTATTTTCCTCTCTTAGCTCGGTGTCCTGTTTGCTATGACGCCACACCTCAGCTATGGCTATGGTGGTGAGGTCTCATTACAGACTCAGAAGATGCTCAAATGTAACTCCTCTGCCAGATGGCTCCTGCAGGAGCCACTCAAGCACAGGGATTTGGGTGCCAGAGGGATCAGACCAGGGAATTATCAAGGCAGCTGTGGCTGCTATTTCTCTTACCAAATTGGGACAATCTTAATGGCTCCGAGACGACCCCTGAAGAGCTGGAGTAATCTTCTGTTATCTCTCATCACCCCAAACACTGACATCCCTATACCCTTCATAGATTTTTGGTTGGGATAGTTGTTGATTAAAGCCCTAATCTGCATGAGAAACTGTCACTTTTCTATTTAACTTGATGACTTATTTGCATTAAGGATGAACAGACACAGAGAGTCATTTCTTACACAAAGAAACCAGAGTTCAGAGAGATGAAAAACTGGAGAATTAGAGAAAACACGCATTATTGGTGGACTATTCTGCAATTGTCAGTAACTGTTTATAGGTATCCATATCACACACTCCAGGATAGCAATTAAATGCTCAGTCATCTGCAACCATCTAAGAGAGGCAAAAATAGGCTGCAGGGAGGGCAGGCAGCCCTCCCATCCACAGAGAGCAGTCAGCAGCAGATCAGCAAGGGAATACGGAGACCTGTACTGCTGCTATTTGTGCTTTTTAGACAGACCATCACAAATTAAACGTCTACATTTTACGAGATTTTCATCCACTTGTATTGCAGATATATCAGCCAAAGGGAAAAAAAAACAACAGAAAACTTTTCTTCTCTTTTTACGCATTTAGACAGATATTTCACCTCCAGACACCATGGGATCTGACCTATTATCTTTGAAGAACTGCTTTTTGCTCCTCGAATATTATTCATTTTGTTGCTGACCAGGAGGACACAGAGCTCCTCAGCAGAGCATCTGGGCACGATTCTGACAAATTATTCCATCTTTTCCCTGAGTGATACATTGTAACTGTTGTGAAGCACTTATATTTTAATCAGTAAAGAAAATGAAATGTCTGACCTTTCCATTTCCTGTGCAAGCTTACAGACAATAGAAAAGATAATTAAAACTGTGAGTTAGGACTTGCAAAACAGTGCTGCTTCTCTAACAGAGAGAAATAGCTGTGCAATAAAGGTCACTTATCAAACAGTTCTAGTTATTAAATCTTTGCATTTAGCTCTGAAGTAGCTTCACAGAATCAAAGGTCAAATCATTAAATAACAAAAACAGACAGAATTAGAAAAGGTCACAAGCAAATCTAACTAGAAGAAAGTCACAAAACACGATGCTTTTCCACAGAGGATTTTGATATTTGGAAATCTTGTTGCTCTCCAATTTGAAACACTCCCCCCCTTCATTTCATAAGTCTCCAGCAAGAGAATGGCTGCAGAAGACCAAGGTAACATGACGCAGGCTGGGACTTCTTAACATCTTCGCAAAACTTCAGCACAACCCTTCTGATTTCCCGATGTCACTGGAGCCCAACACCACAACATCTTGATGGGCCGTTCCCACTCCAAGCTGCCTTCCTAGCCAGGATTGCCTGATTCAGTTTTCCAAGGCTAGCTCAGGACCTAAGCAGATGTAATTTACGCTAATGAAAAGCTCAGTTTCTCCTGAGAGTTCTCAGAGCTGAAGGCCCATGGTGTGCTGCAGAGCTCACTCCAATGCACCAACCCCACTTCGTTCTGCAAATCCCACAATTAATCATACAGATAGTCGGGAAATTCAGATTAAACTTTCCCAATTGTTACTTTAACAATATGATAGCAATTTTATAAATTGGACGCATTGCCCATTCACTACATAATGAGGCAATTATTAGCAGCTAGCCACATATTAATTTGCTCCTTTAATGTTGAAACAAATGAGATCTTTTCTTGTAATCATCCTATTTGAGTGAATTCTAACAAAGCCGATTGAACAAAGCTCCAGAGAGACTTTCTTTATTTCAATGCCATTTATTCTCCTACTCTTCTTGGATGTCTTTAGAGTTTTAGAGGATACAACATTTGTAATGATGCCAGTGGGGAATAGATTTTGCCTTTATTCTTCTTGATGTTCTTCTGAGGTCTTTCAAATGAAAGGTACAAGAGAGGCATTAACGGTCTGGCATTGTTTTTTATTACTTTTCTCTACTTTACAGTAAAAAAATGTATTTTAATTTTTCCTGTGTTTCAGTAACAATTAATTAAGCTGCTCTTTGCAACACTTAGTCCTTTTCTTCAGACCTCTGACTGATGGAATGACTTACCAGGTTTCTCTAAGTAAAAATTTAACACATTTAAGGAAAAGAAAAAAATTTGTATGGCCACCCAGCAAGAGTTCTCAATTAAGCAATAAAAATAAAAATTATATAAAAAAAAATCCACAGGCCTGATTACCCTAAGTTTGTGGTTGTTCCCTCTTCCGTCCTGGTAGAAATTTTTTCCCATCTTCAGCTCTTACTTCTGGTCTTAGCCCCTGGCATTGCATCCCAGTAAATACCCGTCTCCATAAAATTTAATGCTAAGATTTCATAAAGATTTTAACATTTTGACATTATTTTGAAATAAGCCCTATGTCAACACACATTCCATTTTCAAATAAATAGAATATGATTTGCCTCTTCATAAGACTGAGATTGAAGTGCCAGGTCTATTTTATTTAGAAGATTGTCACTGATATGTACATAAGTGCTAGCGGGAAGTTTTTATTTAAATTGAATGAATTTGAA